AGGTGCTTAAGCATGGCCACACAGGGTCTGATCAGCTCTCAGCTCCAGCCGGCTCAGCAGTGGTGCATATTCACTCAGGCATCCTTTCACGGGGCCAGGTATTTATTCCAAGTACTTGTGTCCATGGCCCCCACCTGATTAGGAGTTCCCAGGGAAGGGACTGCCTCTCCTAGACTGCACTAAAAGGGGTTCCCTGTAGCACTCAGAGTTTGGCCAAGCCCAGGGTGGCAGCTGAAGGAGAGAGGCTGACCTGACAAGAAGGGGAGCCATCTCCAAACAGAGGAAGTGGGGATGCTGGGCAGCAATACCAGGCCATGGGGCCTGTCCACCCTCCATCATCTGTAGCTTACCCCATGTTCACCGAGAGCAGGGGAATGACGTCAGTGCGGTCTGGATACTGGTAGAGGATCCCGTTGCTGTAGAGGCCAACACAACAGGGTGAGAGCTTCCTGAGGAACTGGGGCCCAAGCTGGACCTAGCTCCCAGGGGCTGCCCCCACAACCTCAGAAGGCAAGGAGGCTAGGAGACTGTTTTCTATGGAAGGGAGGTGAAGAAAGAATTGCAGAGGACAGCAGGAACCCTGATCCCTTAGCAGACACCCTCTGGCCTTGGGGGACTGCTAAAGGTGTGTTAGTGGGGCCCAGCCCAGGCCTTCACTGGAGGCATCCTGGGATTCCTTGGGCCCCACAGATGAATGGCTTTACAGAGAAGCTCTAACATTCAGGGTATGTCTACTCCAAAGCCCCTGTGGGGAGGGTGGCTTCCTCCCTAGGGTGTCTCTGCTCAGTGACCCACAGCAGAGAGGTCCCTGCTGGGGCCCCAGCTCTGGGGCCCAAGCCGGAGGCCTGGAGCGGCGGGGGCTCCCACCTGAGCACCACGAAGCAGGTCTTCCAGTATTCCTTGCCCAGGTAGGAGGTACCCGCCTTGTAATGCAGCATGCCTTCTTTGGTGATAGTGCCCTCAGGGGCTGAGCAGTGGCAGGGGACAGGGCCCAGGGACTCATCCATAGGGTCTTCCCAGTGAACAAGCCCGTAGAATCGCACAGTAACAGCAGATGCCTGGGATAGGAACAGTGGACAGAGCAGTGAGATCTGGGCCAGGTGGGTGGCTGAGCCACTGAAAACCCAGGATTAGGAGGGGCCTCTTGGAAAGCAAGGATATTTTAACTTTAGGACATATCCCAGTTGGGAGGGGGACAGGATTTGGGACTGGAGAGCCCTCCTAGGTGGGAGACAGAAATGATGAAGTATTTATTTGTATTCCTTAATGCTAATACCAGGGCTGGAGAAGAAGACCGGGTCTCACAAGGGACTAGGCCTATCTTTCCCAGGTTCATACCTCACACTTAGATTCCTGGGCCACAAATTTAGCCAGGGCCAGCTTCTCCATGGTGGCATCTGTCAGGACGCTGGGGTAGGGTGGTTCCCGGCAGCCTTTGATCATGGCTGACTTCAAAGAAGCCAAGAAGAACCTGCATGGGGAGTGGGGTTTGTGGTCAGAAGCCTGGGGAGTTCCCACCCTATCTTCCACTGGGTAGGGCTCAGGGCGGTTAGGGCAATAATGTGGTGGTAGTCCATGGCCATCAAAATGGTGACCTAAAAAGGTTCTAACCAGTCCTAATGGCCAAGGGCCTTGGATTTTGACACCGAGAAAAGGCTGACAAGGTGGCAGCCAGCAGGACTTCTATGATGTGACTATGAGTCAGGCCTTCCCTGTACAACATGACATTCTTACATGTAATTTTCACACGTAAGTGTTTGAGGGTGCACCGTGGCCCAGCAGCCCTACTGGGTAAGTCATTGCCAGGCCCTTTCTCTGTGGGTCATGGAGGGTCTGAGGTCACTTGGGTTAACCATAGGAGTCAACCAGTCAATGTGTTTGCTTTCCTGCTGCGGACCAGACTGCAGGTTTAAGAGGGAACACAGACAGTTCTGTTTTCCGTATCTTTGCCTCCCATTCCTTCCTCCAGCCATCCCCCAACCCCAAGGGAGCAGGGAGTGTCACTCACTCAGCCAGAGTTACGTCAGCCGTGTCCAGCAGAAACTGCTTCCTGCGGTTGGTGCATACCAGCTTCACCGTCTGCTGGTCGAGGCCGACCTGCCAGAGACCACATGCTCACATGCACATGTGGCTCTGGCCACTGCCTGCAGAGAAGGCAGCCACGCCTGGATGAGGGCTGGATAGGGAGTGGCAGGGCAGGGGGATGCCCACTTGGGGGTCTCAGGAAGTAAAGACCCAGAGGCCTGGGGAGGGGTAGTCAGAAAAAATGCCAAGGAGGCAGCCTCCTTAAGCTTGTTCTTATTCCCAGCACCAGGTGCCAGAGGTTCCTCTAAGGAATAAGATGGCGTCAGTCCTGGGGGCAAAGTCAGACAAGTGCCTTGTTCTGCAGCTCTCAGCCTGTGTGGCCCAAGGAGCCCTGCCCTTCAGCAGGCACAGCTATGGAGCCTGAACTCACCGAGACGTAGTCAAGTTCATTGTAAGAAATGGCCTCTTCCACCAGATACGGCTTCTCTGTGGCCCCTAAGAGAGGAGACCCCAATGCGTATTACCCCCAAAGTGGCCTCCTGTCCCTCCCCCTGAAAGGATGGAGTAGGACAATGGTATTGAGGGGAGGCTTGCAGCCTCATGCCTTGGGCTGCTGGGACCAGCAACAGCTTCCTTGAGTTCCTTTCTGTGACCACACACAGGAGCCAAGAGATGCTCAAAGGTGTAGGGTGGCTGGGGAAAGGGGCAGCAGACAGTCTCGTCCTCAATGAGGCCCCAGCAGATGTCCTGGCCCTGCCTGGGGGCTGTAGGGTACCTTTGCGGAGCAGATAGACGTAGCAGTCTGTAAGCAGCACGTACAGCAGCTGCAGGTTGCCCTCCATGTGCCCAGTGCTCATTCGGATCATCTGAGGGCCGAAGCAGATGGTGGTCAGGGACAGAGGCTCCTGGCCCCACCCCAGGAAGCATGTCTCCCCTTCTGCATAGGCTGTCCCACCTGCCCCTTGCTGCGCTTCCTCTCTTGATCATTCTTGATTCCTTGGGACTTACTTTGAACAGCTGCTCTTCATTTTCTCGAAACACATGGATCATCAGCAGGAGCAAGTGATTGTTGTCTACTCTGTGGGAGGGACGAGTGTGCGGAGGGGTCAGGTAGGCAGTGGGTAGCAGAGGTTGCAAGCTTGTCGTGGCCCTGCCTCCCACTGGGAGCCCTAGCTAGATGGGCAGATCATACCCCTTTCTGCCTCCCAGCCCAGGCAAGGTTTTCCAGGAGTTTGTGCTTAATTTATTTGGAGTTCAGAGGGCACCGGGTGGAGTCCCATCATGTGTGCAGACACCTTGCTCACCTGAACTCTGATGAGTGGATCATCTCAGAAGGGCTCCCCTGCCCTTCATCCACCCCCGAGTCCTCTGCGCTGCTCAGACATGGGCTGGGCTGCTCTTTCTTGAGCTGGCAGAGAGCCTCCTGGGTCCCCGGCTCTGGCTCAGGCACCAGCCCCTCACTGACCAATGGCTCCTGAGTCTCTGGCTGCTGAGTCTCCCCCTGGGTGTCCTCTAGGGGTTGAGGTGCCTGTCCCTCTCCTCCTCCTCCTCCTCCTTCCTCTTCTTGGCCAGTAGCCGCAGGGCTACGAGGAACATGCAGCGGTTGGCCAGGCCCTGCAGGGTCATGGTGGCCACCACTTGATGTAGCAGTGCTTGGACTCTCAATGGTAAAGCGGTAGAAGTCCATGGGGGCTGGAAGCCCCTCACTAAAGTCGCAAAATGGCGGCTTCTCCGGGGCATCCCCGGGAGAGCCGGTCCGAAAGGACTGGTCCGGGGGCTGTGAGTGAGAGTTCCAGGTGCTGGGGTCCAACTGCCCATTAAGCTGGTCGATGACCTTACTCAGAGGCTGCCCCAGGCGCTCCATGGAGGTGTCCTTCATTGCGGGGATGAGCAGGCCCATGTGGCTGAGGGCTGCACACTCGCTGCTCTCAGCTGCACTGTTGGACCCATCACCCTCCTCCGGGGGCGAAGCCAGGGTGGTGTCTGGTGAGTCCTGTCCATGGCCTGGGCCATCCTCGTGCCTGGTGCATTTCTGCTGGGTGGAGGTTGAGTAAAGGGGACTTGCTTCCTCATCTGATTTGGTTTTCTTCTTCTTGCCAATTTTCTTCTTCTTGGTGACCCTGGGACAATAGTGATGGGAGAGACTTAACATCTGTCTGAGTACTGAGGAACTGAGGGAAGTTAGACAGGTTGAGTCAGAGAGATGATGCTGGGCATGTGGCCCCAGAGAGCACAGCAAGTACCGGGAGTCCTGGGCAGTGCTAGGAGGGGGGCCCCGGCCAGTGGGCAGCAGCAGCTCAGGCCCCAAGATCGGGGGAGGGTTGGGAGCAGCACTAGGGTGGCACAGATGGCAACAGCCAGAGGGATCCCAGAGCAGGCCCTGTGGAACCCCAGCTGATGGAAACAATTGAGTTAGCTGTGCCCCTCTACAAAACAAAAGCATGCCGTCAGACCAATGGCCTCCTCCACAGCCAGCCCCTAGATGCTGGCAATGGACCCTGAGCTGACCTCACTGCCCATTTGCAGTCATCATGGATACATCACCCAGAAATGTACTTTTCTGGGCTCAAACTCCTGCCCCCATTCTTTGGTTCCAAGTTGGCTGGAGTGGGCTTGGCTAAGCTACCCAGGTCTGAACCAGCTCTGCACTGGAACCAGCCTATGGGAGTGGGATTCCTGCCAGTCCTGGGGAGCCACCCTGCCCCCGTGCCAGCAAGTCTTCAGAACACTTGACAGTGTACACAAGGCCTCCCTCCTGTTCACAGCTAAGAGTCTCAAAAGCCAGGGCCAGGGGAGGTCGGGGAGCTGAGAAGGCTCTGGGCCAAGAGTTTCCTCCTTGTCATTCACCTCCTCCTTTTCTTCTGTGCCTGCTGACACGGAGAAGAGACTTTTCTTTCAAGGAGCCAGGCTGAACTAGAATTAATATAAATCACAGAAACTGTGATTTAACTTCCAAGAACTCCCTTGGAAAGAAGGTCAGCTTGGAAAGGGCTTTCTGGTCCTGGAGGGACAAATGTCCCTGGCAGCCTGGGCACGGCCCCGGAAGCCAGTTGCAGTTGCCCATGGTGCTACTTGTCCCAGGGCTGGGGCTTTGTTTCCTCATGCTCTAAGAACTACAAAGGTAGGAGCTACTTCTTAGTAGTCAAGAAGACCCCTGACTGCCCTCAGGGGAGTCCCAGACTGCCCCCCTCCACTGACCTGATGACTTCAAGCTCGGTGTAGGCCTCTGGCAAGTCCAGGGTTTGGGACTCCCCCTTCTCTAGAGAGGCAGTGTGCACAGGGGTGGTGTCAGAGGAGGATACGCCCTCTCCCTGGGCCTCATTGAAGGGGTTGTGGCGCTGGGTGGGGCTCTTAGTGGATGCCTTGCTGCTGGCTGGGTCCGAGGCTGTGGAGCGAGGGCCACTGACTGTGTCTGTGAGGTCTCCATCTGGGAGAACAAGAACATGGGAGACAGCCCATCAGATACCATCTAGGGACTCCAGGCCCCCAAAGTCTGCCTTATTTCAGGAGGGAGGCAGGTGACCTTGTTTCAAGAGTGGAAGTCCCACCCAACAGGGTTGTGCTATAAGAGCAATTTGGAGAAGCCACCATTGCTACCACCACTGGAAGCCCCTGAGAACACACAACAATTTGGCTGAGTTGGTGTGAAGAGCCCCAGGGTTAAGCAGGATAAGCCCCCTAGTAATGGTGACCTTGATGCCTCCAAGGGTAGCTGGGATCCACGGAGAGGAGATGGGCCACACACCTCTTAGGTTAACCCAAGAGCCTGCTTATCAGAGGCTCTTAGAGGGGTACCCGGCATCCCTTTGCCCACAGGCCACTGGCAAGGCTGAGAGATCCCCAAAGACTCCTCTGAAGGGTCCCCTGCAGAGGCAGATAAAAAGGCGCTCAAAAGAAGAGAGAGGGGCAGAAGGAAGGGAAGACGGGTCAGAGAAAATGAGGGGTCCAGAGTGGGTCTGAGAGGATAAGGAGCAAAGGGTGAGGAGCATGGTAAGACATAAAAACAAGGGCACAGAGAAGAGAATGAGATGACAGGACAGAGGCAAAAGAACAAGATGCAGAGAGGAGAAGAAATGGGCACCGAGTGGCTGACCCCACAGAAGCCTTGTGGGCCCTTCAGAGGCTGCTCTTCTCCCTGAAATCCCACCAGTACCCTCCCAGGGGGGCAGGCACAAGTGTCCCTTTAAGGAGGGTGCCCAGAACTCAATTTTATTCTACCCTCAGCTTGCTTCCTGCTCCTCTCTGGGCCACGCCCTCTCCCTGGCTCCCTTCTGGGAGAAGGCAGGAGAGATGGTGTGGGGGGAGCTACCTGTCCAGAGAGGAGCTGGTTGAACAGCTCCCCTCCCCCACCATGCACCCCTCTCCCAGGAGGAGGGCAGGGAGAGGCAGAGGGCCAGCAAGAAGAGCACACAGGGCAGTTCCCCGGTGGCAGATGGGAGATGCTCCAGCAGAAAACTAAGGCCCAGCTGGTGGAACAGCCTGGGTGACAGCTAATGGCAAGGGATGCAGGACATTCACGCTCCATTTGCCAGTTTACATACATCTTGCTGGCCATTATCTGCCCAGAGGAGACGAGGCAAACGTGCGCTCTCTACAGCTCTGTTCAGAAAGGCCCCACCTGCTGTCAGCCTCTGCCTTAGAAACCCTCCAGAAACTGCTGGGCAGCTGCCTGCTGATGCAGCACGCTGTCTTTTTTTTTTTCCCCCAAATGTGTTGCTTTTTTAAAAATATTTTATTTTTTGTTGTCATTGAGAATGTACACAACACAGCATGTACCTATTCAACAGTTCCCCCATGTAAATCCAGTGACAATGACTATTCTTCGAGTTGGCCATCACTCTCACCCTCCTTTTCCAAATTGTTCCTCCCCCATTAACATAAATTCACTGCCACCAGGCTTCCTGTTTAATCTCTTGAGTTGCTATTGTCCATTTGACCCATATAGATAGTTTACACTTTTTTTTTTTTTTAATTTTTGAAGTATAGTCTTTTAATATAAGGACAAAAAAACCAAACCAAACTCACTGCCATAGAGTCAGATCCGACTCATAGCGACCCCTCCTTGGGTTTCCAAGGCCATATCACTAGGGAAGTAGATTGTCCAATCTTCCTTCAGAGGAGTAGCTGGTGGGTTTGAACCACCAGCCTTCTGGTTAGCAGTCAAATGCCTTAGGCACTACGCCACCAGAGCTCCTCCTATAAGGACAAAGGAGGGGGCTAAAAGCAACTGTTAGGAAAAACTCCTGCAATATAAGGCATTCTTCCGATTTTCTGGTACCCTGGAACCTTAGTTCTCAGAGGCAGAAAATCATGCCTGCTGGCCCCAGAGAGGGCCCTGCAAAGCCCTCTGGGTCTTGTCCAGCCCTTGGGATTCTCCTTGCCATTTGCAGTTGCTCATGGGAGGAGTCCTGAGATGAGTGAGCAGACTACTGGTCGTGTTGGTGTCAAAGTTAGGACACCCACTTGTTCTGAAAATAAGCCAAGGACTATGGAAAGATGACTCTGATTCCCTGCCCCTAGAGCCCTGAGTTTGGAACTGCCCCCCAACCCTGTTTTCCTCTAGATCCAAGGAGAAGAAGACAAAACCTCTTCAGGTGAGCTCCCAGAAGGTGCTCAGGAATTCTCTGATGCTTGAGGAATTTGGGAAGGCAGGAGACCTCTGTAGGGGCAAATCTCTCCCTGGCCCAGGGCTCATCCCTACCCCAAGCAAGTAGTGCAGGGTGGGCTGTTAGTTCTCAGGACACAGGAAGCTGTGGAGGGCTGCAGAGGGAGGTCAGTTCTGTTTGTCACGTGCAGGTCTTGCAACAGGCAGGAAGTAACTGGGTCAGGAGGAGGGTTAGTTGTTAGAATCAGAGAGGGAAAAAAAATCAAAGCCCAGCATGAGAGGCTAAGAGAATAAATGATGTTATGATGGAATTCTGAATTTCAAGCTGATCTGAGCAAGGGATTCCTCAACGCTCCTCCCTCGGCCAGATGATGTGACTGATTTTTCCCAACGCCGTATCTTGTTTCCCTAAGTTAAGCTAGTCCATACTCACAGCACTTGGGAAAAGATCATCTGTCATCCATTACTCAGAGATCCCGGGTCCAGCTCCGGGCAAGGGGGGACAGCTGCGTGTTCCTCATCCTCCCACGGGGTGAGAGGGCTGGAATCTGCCCCTTCATGAGGCTGGGCCCTGGGCTAGCAGTGGTAGCCCCCAGGACAAGAGGCACTTTAGTAAATGGGATCTCATTACAGCCTCAGGTTTAAGGTGGGGGCATCTGTTCTCAGAAACATGCCCTTTCCATTGAGTAATCACGGGAGCCTGGTAAATGTTGTTGTTGTTATGTGCTTTCGAGTCGGCCCCGACTCATAGCGACCCCTCCTTGGGTTTCTGAGGCAGTATCACTACGGAAGTAGGATTGCCCAACCTTCCTTCTGAGGAGTGGCTGGTGGGTATGAACCGCCAGCCGTCTGGTTAGCAGGCAAGTGTCTTAGCCACTATGCTACCAGAGCCTGGTAAATAGTTATGTGAATTTACACAAGCCAGAAGTAAGGTTGCAGGCAAAGAAATGCCCAAGCATGGCTGCTGCCCAGTAGACAGACTGGCAGGGTAATGGATTTTATTGTATTCTGCCTTAAAACTTCAAAGAGAATGTCCCTGTTGGAAGTTTCAGCTGTGCCTGGGCAATTTCCCACAGCTGGACCTCAGTCTCTTTCAAAAATACTGGAGAGGAAACCGTCCCGAATGGACTGAAAAAACCAAGCCTGCTGTATTTGCTTTTTGATGTCTCTGGCACTGGAGCCTGTCTGACCTATAGGAGTTTACGACCGGCATGTTAAAGGCATAGTTTTCCAGAACAAGTCTCCCTCACTGGGTTGGGCCTCTAGGGCACTGACCAAGTGTGTCCAACGTTAGCAGCTCCCTACCTACATCAACAGGCATTGGAATCAGGAAGGGTGATGAGCATGGCTCCCGAAAGCAGTCATTTAGTGACACCACAAGGCCACTGAGTTAAGGCAGTGGTCCTGCACTGGGAGAAGGGATTTACTTGGCGCTGGGCTCAGGCAAGTGCTCCTACTGCAGAATTCCATTGATCAGAACACCAAACTTGGCTTTATTAGGATCACTGACATTATCATAAATAACAAGGAGCTGATTTTGAAACATGCAACAAGCTTGGCATGGGAACATTGCAAAACAGGAAAAGGGGGTAAAGAGCGGACTCTGTCCCACCTTCCCAGTCTGTGCTGGGTACAGACGGCACTGCTGGAAACACATCTCCAAAATCATAATCTATAAAAACGAGGGACAAAACTGAAGATTAGAAACACAGGCAGTGGAAGGCCGGGAGGGTAGGGGCAATGGGGTGGGAAACATGGGAGAGAATGAGAGGAGAAATTCAACTTTCTATATTTTCTCTAACAGCCTCAGGAAAGCTTATTAGGACTGCAGCTGATCTCAGCTTGGGCCCTGGCCCAGGAGCACGTGACCAGCAGGCGAGCCCTCTGGGGAGATTCCTTCCCAAACCCAGAACCTGGTTCTGGCAGAAAAGAACCTCAGCTCCCTTGAACCTAATCTCATTTTCTACCCCTTTCCTTCCCTCCCTCTGTACCCAGCAGCGTAACAAGGCCCTGTTCCAGCAACTCCAGCTATACAATCTCTAAATTGCTAAGAGGATGGGGGCTCCAGCAGGCACCTCCATCCCCAGATAGTCAGCTCCTTTCAAGGCTCAACCTAAGGTGATAGCTGCCATTTTCAGCTTGTACAACAAGCAATGCAAGACTGAAAGCGACCCTTCCCCAGGGACATGTGACCCATAAACCAAACCAAACTCACTGCCATCGAGTCAATTCTGACTCATAGCGACCCCTCCTTGGGCTTCCGAGGTGGTATCTCTAAGGAAGTAGACTGTCCAATCTTCCTTCTGAGGAGTGACTGGTGGGTTTGAACCGCCAGCCTTCTGGTTGGCAGTCATTCTTAGACACTATGCCACCAGAGCTCCCATATGACCCATAGCATAAGCAAAATTAAGAAAGAGGAAGGCTGAGTCTCAATGCTGAGGCAATCCCAGAAAGCCCCAGGGGCTGAGCTTGCACTTGGATCCCCTTCTCTAGAGGTGAGGCTGGGTGAAGTAAATGACAAGATCTGCTTTCCCACATGGGCTAAAAGTGAGGAAGCAGCCCATTTTATGAAGGAGCATGAAGCCTAAGGTTTGACAGAAGGCTGTTTGTTCCAGTAAGTGGTTTGGTCAATCCAGCACAAGGAGCTACAGGCTTGATAACATTCTTTTTCAGGTCCCTGATACAGGGAGTGCAATCGTCTCTCACAGGTTAGGAAATGTAGGAGGAACTCCAAAAAACTGGATGGACAGATGAGAAACTATGGCAAGCTTTTCCCTAAACTCTGGACCTGCCTGGCTCTGTCTTCTTCTTAGGGTTGCTTGGCCTCTTGTTGCCTAGAAACTAGGGTAGACCGACCTCCCCAATGCAGGCAGCACTCATCCCTGCCCACTGCTAATCCCTTCTTGCTCAGAAAACTGCCCCTGGGCATATGACCACAGCCTTCTGGAAAAGGGTCTGTTGTTAGCTGCTGTCGAGTTGGCCCGACTCATGGCCACCCTGTGCACAACGCGACTGGCTGTTGTGCTCCATAGGACTTTCACTGGCTGATTTTTGGAAACAGATAGCGTGGCCTTTCTTCCCAGTTCATTTTTGTCTGGAAATTCCAGTGAAATCTACTCAGTATCAGAGCAACACATGAGCTTCCACTGACAGAGGGGTGGTGGGTGTACATGAAGTACACTGTCCAGGAATTGAACCTGGCCCTCCCACACGGTAGGTAAGAATTCACTTCTGAACCATCACTGCTCTGGAAAACGGTCTAACATTCATAAAATATATTTTGGCTATTTGTCCTCAGAATCAGTTTTTTAGCCACCATGAAAACTCTGAGGAAATGAAGACCTGAGAAATAGCTTGTACTGTTTAACTTCCAATTTCAACCACCAAACCAAAACAAGCAAAGGAAGCCATCCCCCAGCCAGGTGCAAGCAGCTCCAAAATCAGTTGCACAGCAGAGGCTCGGCTCCTTTCTGCTCCTGAGGCCACTTACCCTCACTAGATGGGGCAATTGCACTGTCATCCCACTCCAGGTTGGTGGATGTGACGGAGTTAAAGGAGTTGAGGGACAGGCTGTCCGAGCCGTGGACAGAGGTAGGCAGGCGGTCTTCAAAGTCCAGCAGGTACTGAGGTTTATAGTAGTCGGGCATGTAGGGGGCCAAGTCCAAGTAAGGGGCATCCTGAGGAAAGAGTGGAAAAGGGTCATTTGGTAGGAGGAACCAGGTGGGCCAGAGAGTGTGGTCTTCCACAGACAGTAGGCCCCAGGACTGGGAGCCACGGATGGCTTATGCTGCTTTCTCTTTGGGAAATCAATGAACTTAAGGTAGGAAATTCTAAAATGAGCTGATAAAAAGAATAATTTGAATGGTTCTGGCTTTTACTGTTATGGGCTTCAGGATGAAGGAGATGACAGAACTATCAGAAGCCAACTATTATAAGTGATGCCCTCTGACACTTCCTCGATCTTTTATTATTCAAGTTGCTTGTTTTCTTTGATTGCTTCTACTGGCCACATTTCTTCTTTAGTCTATGTTGTTGGGGGAAGGACCAAGGAAAGTGACTTATTAGGATAGGGCAGCTGCACCTGCCTCAATGAGTCTGAGGCCACGAGGCACTCTGTAGCCTCTTTTTTTTTTTTTTTTTATTATTAGGATTTGGGTGAAGA